ATGAACAATTTTAGATGTCAGGTTATTTACTGAAACCAAGGAGGTTGAATACAATACTTGTATTTAACCTCCTTGCTGAAACGGCATATTGTCCATATTTCCTACGTAAACTGCATGTGATGAACGTTCGCGGTTGGTAGGAGGGCAGCAAACCGCAATGCAATTTTTCCCAACATTGGCAATGAACCCTCGCTTTAGATTACGGGCTGTTGAACACAAAGGAGTAATTTACATCCAGCGAGGAAGTGATTTACCATATATCGCTACGGAAATGTTGACGGAAGTCTGAACAATATGTCCTAGCACCCCCGAAAATAGTATGGTCCTGTGTCTACATTAACATAATCTATGCCAGGATGTAATAATCACTATTTGATACTCCTAATTAATAAACGTGTGGAACATTGCATGCAAAACAAACAAAATTTTCTTAAAGTGTAAAGTATATTATGTTTTAATAGGTTTAAAATAAATTTAGTTGCCTAGAATGGTAAACAGAAATATACCGCCATAATAAAAATGGGAGCATCCACATCAAAATCAAAATGAATGTCGCTTCGCCAGCCACCAAAAAAACTTCGCGAAGTACACACAGAAAAAAACAAGTACCCATAGAAAATACAAAGTACCCATAGAAAATACAAAGTGCCCATAGAAAATACAAAGTGCCCATAGAAAATACAAAGTACCCATAGAAAATACAAAGTACCCATAGAAAATACAAAGTACCCACAGAAAAAGACAAGTACCCATAGAAAATACAAAGTGCCCATAGAAAATACAAAGTACCCATAGAAAATACAAAGTACCCATAGAAAATACAAAGTACCCATAGAAAATACAAAGTGCCCATAGAAAATACAAAGTACCCATAGAAAATACAAAGTACCCATAGAAAATACAAAGTGGAATAAAAAATGCTAAGTGTACCTATGGGCCTTCGTACTACTTCGTACGTACTTCGTAGTTTAGGATCTACTGTCCTTTTGTGTGCCCTTATCTTAGGGTTAACTACCATCGTGTAGTCACTGCTATTTGTATATTGTATATTGTTATATATTGTTTGGTTAGCGCACCTCAAAAGGCGCATGCACCAGGGGGAAGATAGAGTAACCAAATCGACTATATCCTAGTCCATAAACGGTTCCGTTCAGGTGTCAATGTGGCCAAAGCAAGGACTTTTCCAGGTGCAGACATTGGCAGCGATGACGACCTGGTGATTATGAGCCTAAAAACAAAACTCAAGAAAACTAACAGACCACAAAACGTCAGAAGGAGCTGCAACGTTGATAAACTAAAAGGTCTTACTATCTCGGAAGCTTTCCAAGCATCAATTGGCAGAAAATTCGCTCCATTGTTAATGTTAGGAGAAGAAGACATGGAAACAATGACTAGCAGCTTCAACGAGGTAATGATAGGAGCAGCCAATGACATTCTTGGGAAACGTCGTAAGAAAACTAAACCCTGGGTAAACGATGACATCCTGAAAAGTGTGATGAAAGAAGAGAACTAAAACAAATAAATACTCCAAGTATGGGAAGATCTCCAAAGAGATTAGGAAGAGTATGAAAAAAGCAGGCGCAAAATGTGTAGAACAGTAATGCATTGAACTAGAGGATGGTCTCAATAAGAACAATACTAGAAAAACATTTCACATCGTTGAAGAGCTTGCAAATGAAAGACAATTAACTCTATAACTTTAGAAGTTAGGGAGTCCGATCTTACGCGAGGAAGCAGTGGTGGCATTGAAAACACTAAAAAATGGCAAAGCCCCAGGAGTGGACAACATACCAGCACAACTGCTGAAACATGGGCGGGGGTGGGGGCACGCGCACAATAGTTGATATCCTTACAAGAATCTGTAACAGGATATGGCAGATGGGGGTTTGGCCAACAACATGGACGCAATCCTTGATAATCACACTCCCTAAGAAAGGTAATCTACAACAATATAAGGATTACAGGGCCATAAGCCTCATACGCTATGCGAGCAAGGCGATGTTAAAAGTTCTCCTGAACAGACTTAAACCCCAGGCAGAACAAGTCAAAGCAGAGGAACAGGCTGGGTTTAGGCACGGACGAAGTACCACAGAACAAATATTTAACCTCAGAGTACTAGGTGAAAATAAAGTCAACACCAGCAAGCCATCTATCACATTTTCTTTGATTTAAAAAAAGCGTTCGATAAAGTCTGGCATGATGCCCTTAGGCCTACAATGAAGAAATACAACATGGGAAAAATGTATTCAAACCATTAAAGAGCTGTATGACAAGGTCAGCAGTGCGGTACTAGTAGGAGATACAGCTGAGGTTCTGCAACGGTGCCTCCTGTCACCTACATTATTCAATATCTTCCACGAGCGTATAATGACTGATGCACTAGAGAACCACACATACTCGGTTAGCATTGGGGGGACGAATCGTTTCTAATCTGAGATTCGCGGATGACATTGATGGGTTGGCAGGGTCAGAAAAAGAACTCTCAAAGCTTGTGAAGAACTTGGACACAACAACCACTAAGTATGGAATGGAAATAAGTGGTGAAAAAACAAAGATCGTGACAAACATAACAAGAGCGCACCTAGTACCTATTAAAAGAAAAATCACGGTCCAAGTACAAGAATTAGAGACTGTTGCTTGGGAGCAATAATTAGCAAAGAAGGCTCCAAGCCCGAGATTCTGGCACGTGCAGCACGTACGAACATCAGAATGATACACAAGATAAGATTAATACTGGCCCTTGTATTTTTCATTTTTCTGTGAATCATGGACACTAAATGGTGAGCTCCAAAGAAGGATACAGTCATTAGAAATAAAGTGCCTTAGAAAAATCCTAGGGATAACATACCTGGGCCGTGTTACAAATCAGAGAAAAAAAGAGATCATAAACAGCGTAAAACAGCACTGCCAGTATAAAAGGCTCCTGACAGTCGTAAAGAGAATGAGGTCAAATGGACTGTCAAAAACAATCCTTCAAGGAACAGTAAAAGGAGCAAGAAAAACTGCTGGAAGAAAAAATGGGCTGACAACATCCAAGAACGGACAGGAAAAACCTTGCGGAACCCTACCCCTAACACACAGCCGAGAGGGATGTAGGCAGATGGTCAGACACTCCACCATCCATGCACTCCACCACCCTGGCCTGGATTAAGGGACCAAGGTACCAAGGCACATGTACTCGCAGCAGTCTATATAGATAAGTTACTACATAACATATAACTAATGTCTTACGAATTTCGAAGCGACACTAGTGCACTATAGTACGTAAGATACCAGACTTGCATCACTGTTATTGTACTTCGAACTTTATCACAATGGCATGTACTTAACCTATTAGGGCATGAATAAGGGTAATAAAGGTCTTAATCCATTCATTTATTCTAACAAAATAGAAAAAATATGACTGATATCACAAACGTCATAAGTGTGAGGCTATGCAGTAAACTCACCTCCGTTCTCGGCTATTCCGTCGCTCAACACCAACATCAGGTGTAAGATGACCCAGAGTACCGCCATCTTGTTACCAAAAGATTGTCCCAACTCTGGGGCACAACCGACTGCTCCGGGCATTAAATAAGCTTATGCGTGTGTGTAGACATGTACGCTGCAGATGTAAAATTCTCACACTTTAATTAAAAATCTAGACGATAGTAACGTCTTTTATAAATTACCAGAAGTGAGATCCTGTTTTTATCACAAGTCAATAATGTTATCGCTTGGACCATTATAACGCACTTGTCATAAAGATACCTTCACAAAGTCATTACTAATAATCATCCATTTTTTTCCTTATATTAGACAGACATTTTATTAACTTACAACATACGACGCTAGAACTGTACTTAGGGTGAGTAATTTTATAGTTTGTTTTCCCCGTCTAAAAGGTGAGGTGCAGGTGATTCCTTGAATGATACAATGGCGATGCAAGGACACTGCATCGAGCTCTGACTAATTACTTCCTCCAGACTACCATTTTGATAAAACCGCCGCTTTGTGTTATCAAGCTCCCAATAGCGGTCGTAAATATAAACCTATTAACAAAAGGTCTGAAACTTTGGCCGAACACTGATATCGCCGTTTTTACTAAATATATAACGTTTGATGTTCGGCGACGGTTTCTAAAACAACGTGCCTGAAAACATGAACTCCGAGCCCGGTATAAAGTCTTCAAACCACAAAAACTGCCTCCCCGCATCTGAGGCCATTCAGATTAGTTTGCCATACGCACATGAACATTAATCTAAGGTGTCAGCCAACGAGTAACTTAAGTAAACACTTAAATAACTCGTTGAGTGCCTGATATTTACCTACCTTAACACTTATTTTGCATACCTTTACTTACTGTGCAATAGCGTAATACCAGGGATTTTATCGTCCTTTTATCTACAGACAGTTCTGCACCGCACAGTTTTATTAGCTCGACTCAAAGTTATCTTTTTTGTCGCCTTTAGTTCTGTACGCTTTCCAGCTGTCACTTCCCACAAACCGGAGAGTTACAGCGTTACCATAGAGTTATCTGGACAAGTGTGTGTGTAAAATAACTGCACAGCCCCGGTGTAGTTCTGAGAAGGCATGGTGATGAAATCGAGCGGAGGTCACAGCGCATTATGTACCGTAATTGCTCTATTTGCTAGATAAACAAAGTACTCATAAACATGCTTGACTTCAGCAACAACAAGCTTTATTTGTGATAGACCGTCACACCAACGTCTCTCCACGTCAACACTGTTGAACCAAGTAGACTTGCATTCACTTTGATTGATTTGCTGTAGTGGTCTTTATTCATGTGTTAATTTTGTCTTACACGGAAACTTCGTTGAATTTTATCATATATGATAACCGTAGTGGCCTTGCGGGGATTATTAATCCATTGTAAGTTATGTATTCATGATGTTATGTTTTGGGGATGCAAGGGGTCAATAGTTCGGTAGGGTAGGGGTGACACGTTGGTGCCTCGACTTGTTGCGATGGGAATTCATTTCTAGTCAGAGGTCTGTGCATCACTCTTCCTTCCTACAGTTAGAGAGACGAAAGTCAACAAATATAATCAACAGAAAATAGATTTAAGGCTGTTCATAATCAGTTCCAAAGTGACGATAGAACCTGAGTAAACACATATCGTCTCATCTAGAAAGTTCAGCACAGGTACAGATGGTTGCTATAGAGAGGTGAAAAATACAATGTTACAAATCGAATTGGATTATGATCGACGATTACTATTTAAAAGATAACAACAACAACAAAACACAAAACTTGCAAAATACACTTCTCCATCAATGAAACTATTCATCTTATCATTGTACCTCAATGTCTCCTCTCCACTGAAGCACCGGGTGACCATTGAGTGACTTAGTCACTTGATCACTCAGTGGTCACTCAATGGTCACCCGATGCTTCAATGGAGAGGAGACATTGAGGTATCATGATAGAATATAATCGTAGGTCTCGTACCTAGGTTACACGGTCCCCAGAAATGCTTAATGTCGTCGATGGCTATGTCTCCGGTGAGACCAGTAGCGGTAGTACTACGGATGCCGATGAACATCACCTGTGGACAGACAGTGTAGAATGTCAGAACTTTGACTTTGTGATAACCTTGGACAGACCTAAAGTGAGTAGTAATTTACCAAAACATGCATTTGCATCAGCAAAACGTCTATAGAGTTTCTGCTCCCATAATGTCACGAGGTACCTGAAACACACCACATTGAAACAAACGGTGTTATCGAGGCCTTCCCAAAAATGTTTTGAATTTCTGGCATTGACATCTGCTGAAGTGGGCTTACCCCAGGGATTATTGATCAGAAGATCTTTAAAGATTCACTTTTTTCATGTGGTGATCTTAGGGTACCTAGTGGAATTATTATATGATGATCTTTTATTATAATCCATTGCACAGTTTTGGAGAATGTTTATTGACTTGCATCTTTACGCTAGATATTTAGGTCGTGTTAGAGATAAGTGCACTTACCTGGCCCACAGGCGCGTCCAGGTCTATGGTTTCCGTGTACCAGACGTCGCCCTGGTCACCAGACCGCCCGAACGGCTGGTACCAGGCGCTGGTGCCGTTCTGCACGTACACCTTGAGGTCTCCCATGTCGGCCCCGTACATGTGGTAGGCGAACTGCAGGCACGTTCTCGTGGGCGCGAGCGGCGACACCACGGGGCTGAGAAGGAAGGAGGCGTCTCCGGGAAACAGCTCCGCAGACTCCGTATACATGTAGTAGCCTGCCGCCGGAAAAGTAACAACCGTTCGGGTTCGGTAAATGTTTTCAGGAATACAGAGTAGCACTGAGATACAAACTCTTTGAGAAACGTAGTCGGTGGCGAAAAGCAGACCAGTGCAATAGCCTAGTGGGGAGAGTGTTATCGGGTGGTCGCTGGTTCAAACCCCGGCCGCTTTCGATTGACTCGATACAAACATACTGATTTCTATGATTATAGCAATCAGCACGTACGATCGAGAAAGAAAAATGTACGTTGAGCAAAGTATAAACTATCCCTTACCAGATCCGGTCGTGTGGTCTGCGTCTGGGCCTGTGAGGTTGAAGGTAGTGGGGCCCTGGTTGCGCGTAAACTTGTAGTTGTAGTAGCCGCACATGTCTTGTTCGAAGTCACAGTCAACGCTAGCTCCGGTTGCGACTGCAAACATAATAAGCAAATAAAATTACGCAGAGCTAGAAGAGAAGAAACGTTTATCTAGAAAAATGCCAGTTAAGTAACGGGATGGGTTATACAGATGAAGCGTTTAAAGAAAGAATTCCACCAATGACATGAAATCCTATCATAAAAGCTCACCTATGTTGGTAGTTACATGTTTAAAGTTCAAACTTTTGATCCAACACACCAAAGTTCTCTCACCTAGAGCTTTCGATCAGTCACTCTGGTCTTCATCAGTAAACTGACCCAGTGAGGCTTGTCACGTGGCTTCTTTAAAGTGTGACGTCAACACTGGGTCAAAGGAATCTGATACCTTTGACCCAGTCACACTTCAAAGAAGCAACGTCACACTTCAAAGAAGCCACTTGACATGCTTTACTGGGTCAGTCTACTGAGGAAGACAAGAGTGACTGATCGAAAGCTCTAGTTGAGAGAACTTTGTTGGATCAAAAGCTTGAACTTAAACACGACATGAAATCCTATATAAGATAAAGAAGCTAACCTGAGCCTTGACAGGCCACAGATATATCATGTGAGTGGGTGCATCCACCATGTGTGCCCCATCCGTCATGAGTACACTGCTCCACATTCGTCTCGAAGCCGGTACACTGCAGGTTGTTGAGCCAGATGGGCCCGTCTCCCGGCCCGTAGAAGGCGCCGTACTGGAAGGTGTCGGGGAAGCCGAGCTGGCGACAGATGACTCTGGCCTCAGCAGCGCCGAACCCGTCGTCACAGATGGTCCCCCAGATACCGTCGTACTCCACCTCCACCCGGCCAGAGTCGGTGCCGCCGTTGGCAAAACGGACTTCGATTTCTGGAGAAACACAATTGATGTTGGACTATAAGAAATTGTGGAGAGGCATACCCTGTCCACAATACAAAACGTGCTGGCGTACATTTAACTTCCTTGTAAATGTTGCACACACAAGCAGTTTTTTTCAGACCCCTTCCTTTCAATCGTCCTTAGCCCACACCTCGACGTAGAAGACAGTGGAAAGTATACACAGCTAGAAGATGAAGACTATGCAGAAAAAACGTCTGTTCCATGCATAAAACCGAACATCCATACCAAATTGAGGCCAATGTCTGTAGGATAAAGCGAGACACCGTTACCTTGTTTACAGACGACGCTGAAATCTTGTGTGTGTGTGCAGGAGTTCGCCCCCCAGTCCGCGTGGTTACAGCTTCTCACCGACGACTCGTCCCCGGTGCACTTCAGGTCGCTCAGCCAGATCTTGCCGGTCCCCTCGCCGTAGAAGGCGCCCCAGTGGAAGGTTTCGTAGTCGGGGAAGCCGAGCTCCTGGCAGATGACCCTGGCCTCGTTCGCGCCGGTGCCGTCGTCGCAGATCGTTCCCCACTCCCCGTTCACCCTCACCTCCACCCGGCCGTAGCTGTAGCCGCCGTCCGCAAGGTGGATGTCGTAATCTGGAGACCAGGAGAAACGGCAGGAATAGGCGAAGAGCTGCGTTATAAAACATATAAAGCGCTAACCCTTTCCCAAAATGTAATGTTTGACGCTTTTCATTGTAGCGTTTTTGTGCGAATCGTATACGGCAGCAACTATAATCTACATTTATCCAATACGCTAGAAATTGCCAAAGTAATCAGTGATAACTTGTAGCTTTAATTAGATAATTAAAATTCTGTACTCACCGCCCAGATTGATGACGGTTGGAATGGTTGTTGCCGGCACGGGAGTCGTTGGAGCTTCTGTCGCGGCTACATGTTTAAGGGGCATTATGAAAAAAAAAATGGCTAAACGTTCTGTCCAACACTTAGTAAATTGGGAGTTACCCAAATGTAGCCATTTTGTGTTAATAAAGTATACCAAACACAGATGAACTTTCATACTGTGTTACCGTCCACGTTTGGTAAACAATCCTTATAACCGATATGATCACGTGTATTGGGTGTAGTTGACCTACTCAAACATTCGCTAGAAACAGCCTCCAGTTTAATTCCGGACGGGGTCCCGGTTTGGAAATGTGACCTCAACAAAACACATACATGCACACACATGTGAGCATAGCTGTGTGTATCAAGAGCGTACGAACCATTTGACTGGCATGATCCACTGTACAGGAGCACGTCATCAATAGCGACATCTCCTCTCCACCCGATGCCGACCTCCCCTTCAAAAATGATCTAGAAAAATATCAAACAGCTTGTCAGAACTTTTAACAAAGGGCAAAGAAAGAGCATGCATACATATGTCGAGAACCACAACGAATACTGCATTTTTTATTCCAACATATAATCACAAGACGTGGCGACGGCAAACTCAAGTTTTTAAAAACTTATTTTTATGCTGCTACCAGCGTAACACGGAGGAAAATACAATATGTGAGGAAAGTCGTGTAAAGTGCCTTTCCCAAGGCAAAAGACCAGTGGCATGCCAGGGTTCGAACCCTGGACCGCTTGGTTCCGAGACGAACACTACCGTTACGCCACATGATCATGATCTCATTGATACTGCATTGTGTTGAGAGTACTCAACGACTTGTACTCCAAACCTGGTCTTGGTTCATGGTCACGTCGATTTTGGTGTCATGCCACATGTTTCCTTGTGTCGTATTCCTCATGAAGACGAGATCATTCCCGACCAGCACGCGCAGTGCTCCGATGCTGTCCCCGTACACGTGGTAGGCGAACTGCAGACAGTGCGTCCCGTACGCATCGAAGACCGGACTCCAAAGGCGAGCAATGTCTCCTCTCTGACGTGGCGAGGACGCCTCGATGTACATGTAGTACCCTATCAGCGTTATTCAACAGGATTTATCTATCAACGAAAGACTTGGTGTTACATCACACAGCGATGCCAATGAAATAATAAATATGAGCCAAATATGAAATCTTGAGCATGTTGTCATGTTTGGATTTTGCCGGCGAAGCATTTTGAAGCAATAAGTCAGCATTAAAGATAAGTATTATAGTTTTTATCTGTGTTAACATGTGTGAAAGAAGATTAAGCTATTTTAGTTTTAGAGTGCATACACACTGTTGGTACATGGTAAAACAAGGAGCCAATCTAAGCCGACTAAACTTAAGGACGCCAACCAAAACTGAAGGAAACGTTGAAACAGCTACAGACCGTTTCCGGAAGTGTGGTCAAAGCTGGGGCCTGTCTCAGAGGAAGGCGTTCTCCCCGTCCTGCGCCTCCACAGGAAGTCTGTCGTGGTGTCGCTGGTGAAGTTACACGTGTTTACGTCAAAGTCACAGGCGATCAGGGTCCGGTCAGGCCCTGCAACAAAAAAGCAACACGTTCTTTAGCATTCCATACATTAAGTGCATTATATCATGTCCACTGATATATACCAGGGTTCTACTCACGAACAATGAAACTGTAAAATGATTTCAGAGACTAGAAGGCCGTTACCGCCCCCCTCCCACATCCTTTCCAACACTTTCATGGGAACTGTGTGACCTAGGTGACATAATGACCTTTTCAGAGCTGACGAAAGATGTCGGATGGCATATGAAAGCTTCCCTAAAAGTTGAAGTAAAAGTTTACACTCCAAAGACTAGCACACTCCTTAGGCCTTACCCTGGCACTCGACGCCAACGTCTTCATGGTGGCCGCAGTTCTCCACCCCCCAGCCGCGGTGCTGACAGAACTGGATAGACGGCTCTTTGCCGGTACAGGACACGTCGTCCATCCAGATCTGCCCGGTGCCCTGGCCGTAGTGCGCCCCTCCTGACCAGCTGATGTAGTCGACGAAGCCGAGCTCCTGGCAGACCACCCTGGCCTCGTTCGCCCCGAAGTAGTCGTCACAGACGCTTCCCCACGTCCCGTTCACGAAAACCTCGATCCTTCCGTAGTTCGGGCCTCCGTGGACCAGCCTCACGCTGAAACCTGGAAAGAAATGTGGAGTTTGAATGTACAAGTGTTACATTGTTATTTGATAAAATCCTTGTCTACCTTTGCGTATCGAAACGTAGTATGAAAGTTCCAATACTTGCTTGTGTCGGTAAAGCTCTGACATCACTGGACCACCAATGCGTGATAGATTCTGAAAACTCACTTGAACCTTCTAAAAACTTTCTAACGAATTTTCTTGTGACTTTGTTTCTAACAAGATTTAAAGAAAATAACCGAGAAAGTCTACTATTCGCTGTCTTCTTACTTGAAAATGTGATGATGCCGTTGGGAGGGAACAAGGTGGTAGGTGGCGGCGCCGTTGTGACCAGTTGCGGTGTGACGTACGGCGCATCTATGAATACGACATATACCACGGGTTAGTCGTCATGTTTCTAACGTAAATGTATTTCCATCTGTACTTAGGATGGCCCTGGTAAAATGGAAAGCCAGAAAAGCTAACAAGTTTGGACTCTAAGCTAGCATGTTATGTCATGTTTCTTTCTCTACACACCACAGATGACGCCTATGTCCTCGCTGTGGTCACAGTTGTGGTTGCCCCACTCCCTTATGTCGCACTGGAGAAGAGACGTCTCGTTCCCGACACAATTCACGTCGTCCATCCAGATCGGACCGGTGCCTTGTCCGTAGTACGCGGTGGGCTGGGAGGCCAGGGCGCCGGTGAACCCGAGCTGTCGGCACGCTCACCGGTGACAGACAGCGTTTACAGTAGTTAATAGAAAACTATGGTCGGCGTTAGATGGTATATACTGTGCTGAGATGTGCTCTCCACATCCTGAGAGAAACGCTGAGAACAGTATTACTATGCCAAGAGTAACGTTGAACCATGGAGCTACCAATAGCTCCGTGGGTGAACACGGTGCTTCTACGTGGATAATCAGGAGTACATATCTGAGAGGTCAGCAATAGGTCAACTTCAGGACGTAATACTGGGGGTGTCATGGCTGCCGATCGGACTCGATGAACTGTGCCGAATTTTTGGGCAGCTATTCCAGCCCAAACACACCGGGATATATCTGCTGCAAGATTTCAACTCTTCATATTAATCGTACATTTTCCGTGGAACCGTCAAATTTACGATTTAGGAACCAACGGATAAACTTTCGCCACTCTCGTCACAGCCATCTCGCGCGCGCCAGCGACATCACAACAAATTGTGTCATATTTAAGGTAGGTATTTCACTTACTTATATATTTCCAATGGCACTTTTCACAGTTAATACATCATCCATTTCCCCCACTGCTTCGTGTTGGTTTCAGTAACGTGGAGTATTTCAATCATAGGTCATAACGTTAAGATATAGTTAGATATCATTATTATGTACAAATATATAAAAGAGGATCCCTTACATGTAGTTGCCATTGCTAACCTTAGTGACTTACTACTACTAGATGTTTCTTGGTAAGGCCATATTAACTTGATTTTATGGATGACATCCTCTGTAGACTCCAAAACTAAAAAAAAATGCAAGAGGAGCAAAATAAAAAAATGCTGCTTATAAAATTACCACAGGAATGCAAAACTGTATTGCGAATTTGCAGTACTACTTTACTAATTATTCAATACTAGACTGTATTACTTTATAACAAGCCGGCACATGTGGGCCTTTTGTAGCATTTGAATTAAAGTTTTATAAGATTCGTCACTGTACTGACATCAAACTTATCTAAGGAGTTCTGTGGAGCTTCAGCAGCCTGCGCACTGGGTGTCATCCTCCATTGTTTACAACTGACCCTATTGCTGTTCAGGCTACCATTGACTATGGAGGATGGTACCCAGGCAAGAGCTCCATCGGAATTTGTTTTTTTTTTAGTAAAATCAATACATGCAGGCGGATGTCATCCATGCGGATCATATATTACATGTATCATGTATGGCCTAATATCAGGGAGGCATTGTTTTGAACTGAAACCATTGAGTGTTTTTGCTCTTTACATTTAACAGTTATACTGTGACATTTATTAGATGTATGCAATAACAACAATAAAGACTTAGCTTCCTTATATATAGTATCCTGAATGACAATTTTGAATGACATTTATAAATTGTCACAGGGTTTATGAAATCATTCATTTATCCACTTTAAAATGTTATGCTTAACAGGCAGTATTTTGAGTTAGGTGGTGGTAGTGAAATGCAACAAATTTCTAAGCCAAGCACAACAGATCCCCAAGCACTTAAAAGATAACTGGATTGGGTTCTTTCACATACTTTCCTTTGTTAGTGCATATATTTTAGTGTTTACATACATTTAGGGGTTTGACACTTAAAGCTCTCTATATACGTAGGGATTTCGGCCTCACTTTACGACCTGATTTTATGACAAATGAAATGACGAAGCAATTTATCATGTACTAGTATGTCCGAGCTATGGGTGACGATATAGGATCAAACTATTTAGAACACCTTGGCCACCAGAAGGTCTGTTTTGCCACCCAACTTTGAAGTCTCATTTTCGGCAGTGAATAATTCTCAGTGGTTCATGCATATGGCTTATGCCATCTCTGTTGAAGAACACACCTACAGCATAGAATTGTTTGAGGAGCTCGAGGGATCAAAGATAATTTCAATTGGGGCAAAATGCTTTTGCTCAATGCAGAATTGGGTAGTGATGCATGAAATCACAGGAGTGCCCGGTTGACAACAAACAGCCTTTTTTTCTTAGTCAGAAGTAGAAAAATACATCTACTAAGTGGCAGTACATAGTGAGCTGGTAGCACCTCACTTCAGTACACTGAGCAAGTAACATCTAGCTTCAGTACACAGTGAATTGGTAACACCTGACTTCAGTACACAGTGAACCAGTAGGACATATAGTGGAACAGCTAATTGCATGTGTGAAGCAGGGTGTGTATATTTGTGACAGGTTTTCCGCTGTTAATGGCTGAATGTACAGTGTATCACGGCTTGCGCATATATCACAGCTACATGCAAGCCCAGGACAAAAACGAACCAAGCTGCTAGGCCCCGGGACCAAACCCACACCACTTATTACTGAGAGGAAAATCTATCTGCCACTCAAAAATCAAGAGCATAGCATGTTCAGGACAAAAGATACCAAAACCAGCATTTCTGCTGCAGTACCAAGGTCAGCCACCAGGAGGCCAAGATATGACCTTAACCTTTGTCTTCCAAAGACCTACCTATATACCAAATATCATAACTATCCATGTTCCTAAGTTAATGAAAATTGCTGACCAGAAATTTACACACACACACACACACACACACACACACACACACACACACACAG